TGCCAACCAGCTGGTTGGACGAATCCTTATTGACACCGGCAGCTCATCAGACATCATCAGCCTCCGGTGCCTGCAAAAGATGAAATACAATGTCAGCAGCATGCATCCGGTCACCCACCCCTTGGTTGGTTTTGGGGTTGGGATGGTCTACCCAGCCGGGAGAATTGACTTACCCATCCGGTTGGGAGATTCTTGGTCATTGAGGAGTTGACCGCCTACAACATTATCCTTGGTCGGTCTACTCTCAACGAAGCCAAGGCGGTAATCATCCCGTCTCACATGCTCATCAAGTATGAGAGGGATGACGGCTCTGTTGGTTCCTTGAATGGGGATCAGAAGACGGCTCGGGAGTGTTACCTCTCAGTCGTCAAGGATATTGTGGCCCCAGGCGGCTAGGAACCAATAGACCTTGACAATGTCAAGGATGCCGAGCCAGTACCTGCCCCACCAGCAGTCGGGAAGAAAAGAAAGGCACCTTTGCCGGTGGAGGTGAAGAAAGAGAAAAAATAGCAATCACTGACCGGTGAACGGTCAGATGAGCTCCGTCCCAACCGGCTGGTGAAAATATTGATCTCGCTCTGGATGACAGCCGTCCAGAGCGTATTGTAAAGGTTGGGATGGTTGCTCATGCTACTCTGGGTGCAAGCTTGCACCTTCTGCTGAAAGAACTCAAAGACATTTTTGCCTTTGAGGTGGAAGAGATGCCATGCGTCAGCCCGGATCTCGCTCTCCACAAACTCGCCGTGGACCCCAAAAAGAAGCCCATCCGGCAAAAGAAAAGAAACCACGGCGAGGAAAGAAGTCAGGCGGCAGCTGCCGAAGTCAAAAAGCTGCTAGACGCCAGGTTCATTCGGCCTTGCAATTTCCCCGACTAGGTGGCCAATGTGGTCCTTGTTAAAAAACCGCATGGGACCTGGCGCATGTGTGTTGATTACACAGACCTCAACAAGGCGTGTCCAAAGGACAGTTACCCGCTTCCAAAGATCGACAGTCTGGTCGACTCCACAGCCGGTCACGCCTTGATGAGCTTTATGGATGCCTATTCCGGTTTCCATCAGATACCCCTCTGGAAGAAAGATCAAGAGAAGACGGCCTTCATCACTAATTTGGGGTTATTCTGTTATACTGTGATGCCTTTTGGCTTAAAAAATGCGTCTGCCACTTTCCAACGGATGATTAATACGATCTTCATTAATCAAATTGGGAGGAATGTCGAAGCGTACATTGATGACATGATAGTCAAATCCAAGCAATAGGCGGATCACCTTGATGATCTCCGAGAAACATTCACCACCCTCAGGCGGCATAAGGTCATGTTAAACCCCAAGAAATGCATCTTTGGTGTTGAGTCTGGGAAGTTTCTCGGATTCCTGATTGATCAAAGGGGGATAGAGGCTAACCCCGAAAAGATACAGGCGGTGATTGACATGAAGTCACCCCATTCTGTCAAGGAAGTTCAGAGACTCACCGGTTGCCTGGCCGCCTTGGGGAGGTTCCTCAGCCGGTCAGGTGACAAATGCCTTTACTTCTTCCAAGGAATCCGGAAGAAGACCAGGTTTGAATGGGGGGACGATGCTGAGACGACATTCCAGAAGTTAAAAGAGCATTTGCATTCTCTACCTAGGCTGGTCAGTCCCTTGCCTAGGGAGACGTTGTACATGTATTTAGCCGTCTCAGATCATGCTCTCAGTGTCGTTCTCCTTGCTGAGCGAGATGACGTTCAGCTCCCGGTTTACTTCATTAGCAATGTTCTCAAACATGCTGAACTCCGGTACCCCATGGTTGAAAAATTTGGCCTTGCTTTGTATATGGCATTCAAAAAACTGAAGCCTTACTTTCTGGCACATCCGGTGGTGATTTACACCGACCAGCCACTCAAGTGGCCAATGTCCACCTTGGAGACATCCGGGAGAATGTTGAAATGGGCTAATGAAATGCAAAGTCTTGAAATCACTTATGAACCAAGAAAGGCAGTGAAAGGTCAGGCGTTTGCCGACTTCATTATTGAAATGACCCGTCCGGTGGCTCCGGATAATCTTGATCAGGTTTAGAAAGTGTTTGTAGACGGGAGCTCTACAAAAAACGGCTGTGGTGCAGGTGTAATATACGAGTCCCCTGAAGGGGACAGATATGAGTATGCACTACGTTTCAAGTTTCAGGCCTCTAACAATGAGGCGGAATATGAAGCCCTGCTAGCCGGTATCCGTATGTGTAAGGCGGCAGGGGGAATGAAAATTGACGCCTACTCTGATTCACAGTTGGTTGTTAGCTAGTATAAGGGAAAATACGAGGCAACTCATCCGGCTATGATCAAATACCTTCAGGCAGTCAAAGAAGAGACTAAGGCACTTGAGGAATTCCGTCTGAATCAAGTGCCTAGGTCGGACAACAACCAGGCTGATGCATTGTCAAAGCTGGCATCTTCCACCTACCATGATACGCCTTGGTCAGTCTTCTGGGAAGTACTTGAAAAAAGAAGCATCTATGAAGATCCCATTGGAATTCTAGACCGAAGCTCTACCTGGATGGATGGCATCCGGGACTACCTTTCAGACGTAAACTTCCTGGTTTGCCATAGGAGGCAGCCGTCCTGAAGAAGCGAGCTGCAAGCTTCGAGTTGAGAAATGGAGAACTCTTCAAGGCGGGGTTTCTGAAGCCTCTGTTGAAGTGTGTTACCCCGGAAAAGGGGAAGGAAGTTCTCAAAGACTTGCACTCGGGATTTTGCAGGTCCCTAGCCGTCAGAGATAGACGGCATTATTTTTGGCCTACTCTTGAGGCAGACGCCAAGGAGTTGGTGAATAAATGTGACAAGTGCCAAAAATTTGGCAAACTTATTCACCGTTCGGCTACTGATCTGACAGCCATCCACAGCCCAATCCCGTTTGCGAAATGGGGCATGGAAATCTTAGGTCCTTACACGATTGCTTCAGGCGGAAAGCATTACATCTTGGTGGCGGTGGATTATTTCACCACGTGGGTGGAGGCTGAGGCGGTTAAGAACATCAAGACCTCAGACGTAATTTCCTTCATCTGGAAGAACATTATCACCGGGTATGGGGTGCCTATGTCTATGGTGTTCGATAATGGTCCTCGGTTTGAGACGCCTCAGCTCAAAACTTGGTTAGGAGATCAAGGGATCTCAGCGGAAATTGAAAGAGCCGGTGGCTTGTGGGCAGAAGAGTTAATCCATGTCCTATGGGCCGTTCGGACAACAGCAAAGGGGGAAATCGGTGAAACCCCATTTCTCATGGTTTACGGTGCTGAAGCCGACTTGCCCATTGAACATTATGAGCCGACTCTCAAAGTCATGCTATATGATGAAGAGGCAAATTGGGAAGCAATGCACCTGGCATTAGATTCACTCCCAGAACGCAGGGGCAATGCCGCCTTGCGTCATGAGATTTACCGTCTGAGAATGACCAGAGCTTACAATAAGAGAGTACACAAGCGTCCCTTGAAAGTTGACGACTTAGTGTTACAGAAAATGGAGGCAGCCGGTAGGGCCAATGAGCTGGGAAAGCTAACTCCAAATTGGGAAGGCCCCTACCGGATCTATGAAGAAGTAAGAGACGCCACCTACCGCCTAGAAACTCCAGACGACAGGAGCCTTCCCAGAACTTGGAATGTAGACAATTTGAAAGAGTACTACTTCTGAGAATGTAGGTTTTTTGTAAACAGTGAGTCAATTAATGAGAATTCAGACTTTGTTTGCAAAATTGTTTTGATTATCCGCCTGGGTAATACTCAAAAGGATTCTTCATTTACCTAATTAAGTTTGATACTTAGTAAAGGTTACAGTTATTTGACCGCCTGGGTAATACTCAGATAGTTCCTTTGTTTATTTACCTAATTAAGTTTGATACTTGGTATGATTTAATAATTGCCTGTCTGTCTAGGTAATACCAAGACGGGCTTTTTTGTTTAAACCAACTAAGTTTGACACTTAGTGTAAATTTAATGATGTAATAACGCTCGGCCAATGCTCCGATTAAAAGCTAAGCACAAAAACGCTTAGTGGCTATACAACCGGTCCTAAACAAGACCAAAGGCTAAAACAACCGGATGGTTGCTTATTTTATAAAACCGCCTTCCCCAACATGGACAAAGGCGTCCGACGACACCTCTCCGGGTGAAATCGTCGCAGAGAACAGTCAGTTCTACGTACCTATGCAGACGGCAAAAATTGAGCGACCGAATTGGCCAACTCATAGCCGTCTGACCAGAATGATCTGCGAAGAACGATCAAGTTACCGAATACCGGATGCCCCTAGGCATCAGTCGGTCACCGGCTGAAGTTCTCACTTGGGTTATTTATTCCAAAGTTGCATTTTCTATCCCAATTGGGGCAAAAGAGTTGTGCAATGGCTATGCAATCTCTACCAAGACGGAAAAAACCGTTTGGGTAGTGACCGGAACGCTTGTTTGTGTACGGCTGTGCACTTGGTTTGGGGCAATCACTACTGTGATTGATTGACTTACAAACGTATCATGCTCTTTGCAGCATCAGACGTTCCTAAGTCAATCAACCAACTCCATTTGAAACCAACCACACAGCCGTCCAGGGGCAAGGACAGCCGGCTTTTGATAAGTTAGACAAAAAATCGCCGCATGCTTTTGATAAGTTAGGCAACAAATCGCCGCATTCTTTTGATAAGTTAGGCAAAAATCAGGCATATACACAAAAATTCAAAAATTGAAACCCAAACATAAATGCAAAATGATCAAAACCGACTCAGTCGGTGCATTCATAAAAAGTCCACCCAACCAAACGGTTGTAGTGGATCAAATGTTAACCGGACCCCGTCCGGGAGAAGATAGAAATTGTTGATTACCCGGCTCTTCAGCCGGTAAATACAAGGATACTCGGCACGCAGGCCGGAAAAGCAAGTTCTTGGCATATTGCCGCAGATTAAAGAAAATAAAAATAAAAAAAGAGTTGGCATACTGCCGCTGAAAATCACTGCTGGCCCACAGGCGGCTCCTCCTGGTCCTTCTCTTACTCATCTTCTAAGGGAATCTCTTGTGCTTCACCAGGACCGGGTAGCTTAGGCGCGGGAAGCTCAGTGTTGGCGTTGGCCCAGGCATCGAAGGACTCAGGCTTTGGCTCACCTTTCTCTCTCAAGTACACCACGTCCTCGGCGTACCAGTGAGCCAGTGCCCAGATGCCATAATCCTTGTTTGGGTACAAGGCAGCCCAGGCGATCTTCATTCTGGCATCGTTGTCAGCATCGCTTTCAGCAACCAGGCGGTTTTGCTCCGCCTCCAGGGTTGCTGTAAAGTTTATCTGAGCCTGGGCCGCCTCCTTCTCTAGTTTCTCCACCTTGGTTTTTAAGTTGGTGTTCTCTTCAGAAACACCTTTGAGTGTGCCATGGTCCGCCTCGGCCTTTTTGAGCGCCTCGTTAGCCTTCTTGAGACTCTCATCTGCCTTTTTCTGGGCCTCCTCCGCCTTCTTCTGAGTCGTCTTACCGTCGCTCGCCCGCTGGTTGGCCGTCTTCAGGTCCGCCTCCAGCTGCTGGATTCTCGACGCCTGTGTCATTGTGATTGCTTTAGTTTCAAGTTCATTTATGATAGTGGAGTGTAAAGCAACATTATCAGCGTCTATGGCGGACTTCTTGGCCCTTTTTACCTCTTCCCGTTTGCGGGAATAAGGACGCTTGAGCCCATCTACCTGCAGCAGAGCCTGCAAAAGAAAATCAAGTTAATATTGCAGGCGGAGTAAAACACTTAAAAAAAAAAATTGTTAAATATCTTACCTCAGCCAGAAGGGACAAGATTCGTTCAAGGTTGAACGTCTCCATCCCAGGGATAGCATTCTTGTCCTTCCTGCTCACCGCCTCCAGCATGGCTTTAGCATGCCTCTGGAAGTCTGGCCAGTAGGGAGATTGATCTGCACCATAATCAAAAGGTGATGAGTGTGAAATTAAGGCAGCACCTATCTGTTGCCGACCGTCTGAGGATGACGTCTGTTGGGAGTGGGATTTCACTCGCAAAGGCCACCCGAGCTCAGACGGGAATTCAAATGGGTTCTAGTTAAGGCAGAGGCGGATTTTTTGGTCTTGTTAGGGGTGGAGGTGGATTCCTCCCTGGCCCGTTTGAGATCTTTCTCAAACGTCTTTCCTACCTCTCCCCCCTGTGAAAATAACCAAGTTAAAGTTAGCATCCGGAGAAAGTAAACTCTGATACCAATCTAAGAAAGAGTCAGGCGTTTTTTACCTTGGCCTTTACTGCGGCCGCATGTTTTTCCACAAGCTCCTTGCGGATGGTTGTAGAGGACCGCTTGGGTGTCTTCTCCGTCTGCAACATTCTTAAAGCTTCTTCTGCAAAAAAAGAAAAACATCGGTCAATATATCATCAATCAATTCTGATACAAAAGTACTATAGGCGGATGTGAACTTAGGCGCATACGTTTGGTAAACATGTTTCCTAGCCCGCAGGCGGCTAAGAAACACTCGTCCCTGAACCAGGCGCTCTTAGGGATCCAGTTCTTGGGGAATTTTATTGTCTCCCCGGTTGACAAGGTTGCGTCTGTGAGGCCGAAAAACTCTTCCTCAATTATTTTGTCAAAGTCCTCATCAGGGATCCGAGGAAGAGCGCACTTCCGGCTCATCAGGTCGGGCTTCTTATTGTACTGGCGGAACTCATAGTTCTCCCGCTTGCTGGGAGCCGACAGCAGGTAGAACCTGTGCTTCCAGCCGTCGAATTTAGAGACCTTGTCCAAGGTCATCATGTATTGGGGATACGTGGTTAAAGTGTACCACGCCCTCCAAACGCCTGGGCTTCGGCTAAGATAATGCATCTTAGGAAAAGCTTCTCACCCGGGATGGAGCCCCTGGAGTTCGCAGGCGGCAACATACCCCAAGATGTTTTCCCAAGAATTGGGGGTAAGTTGTCAGACTCCGAGGCCGTAGCCACTCAAGATTGCCTTCACCGCCTGGTGAAGGGGAAAGGGAAGACCAGCCTTGAGCGCCGCCTCAAAGCAGCCGAAGTAGCTGTTGGCGTTCTGTTGATCGTCTTCCCAGGCGATGGTGCCGTCCTCAGGCGGTACTCTAATTTTGTACCCGTCTCCTAACGGGTGCATTTGTTTAAACCTCTTCAAGTTGTCCTCCATTTGACTCCTATCCTTGGTAGAGACGTGAATTTTGAAGGGGTCGTCCTTCTCACTCCACTTCTTCCTCTCCTCCTCCTCGCTATCCTCAAGCGGTGGCAAGTCGTCACTACTCTCAGAAGTGGAGGCGGAGCTGTCGCTCTCCGTCTCCCCCTCATTTTGTGGCAAAGGAGCTGAGACGGCTTCATCGCCGCCTTGGTCGCACTCTTACAAAGAGGAATCTGCGGGAGTTGAAGGGGCACGCGGAGGGGATCTCTCCAGATCCGTCTGGTTTCTCTGACTAGACGTTTCTCCCTCAGGCGTTTGACCGCCTGAGCCCTCGCTTCTGTAGTCCGGATCGGGGGCCGTCTGCATAGTCCGAGCCATTGTGTCCTGCACAGACACATAAATGGTCGGAATCCAAGTAAAAGGGTGGTCCCAAAACCCTGAGACGACACTCCCAGTCCTAGACTCAGCCGTCCCTGGTGACCGGCTGGACTCTAACCTAGGCTGTGCCGTGTATGTTGGTGATGCATCCATTTATTGCAAGAAATATGTACAAGCGGTGAAACAATAAAAAGAGCTCAGAGAGACAGAGACGGTACCTTTAGATTTGATATCTGAAGATAGACGGGTCCGGCTGGGTTGACGAAGAACGAGTTTTCTTGCTTGCGCTTGACTCAAACGGATGACTTCTGCTCTCTCAAAGTCGTCTCTCTTGAAAATTTTTGTAAACGTACAAAATGAAGAGGGTAAATGGCTATATATAGAGGGTAAATACAGGGGCATTCCCGTAATTTACTCGGAAGGTGAACGGTTACTCTTTGGTGGTAAAATTACCACCAACCGGAGCGTGACGCGTGTCACAGATGCCACGTGGCATGCCACGTCACATCTGTGAGGGGCAAATGTTTAGGGTAATTTTACCCCGCCACGTGGTCCAATCAGAGGATGACACGTGTCAGCCCCAGGGTGGCCCAGGGTGGACTTATCCCTGCTTGACATATGTCACTCCAGAAACCTAGGAGGAATGGCGACCTTCAGGCCCAAATCTCGAGAAAGCCACAATGCGGCGCAGCCCACCAATGATTAGGGTTCAGTGACCTAATCAGGGGCACAAATCCCGAGGACCCTATAAATAGGGAGATTCCCCTCTTTTGGAGTGCACGTTTTACCATTTATTACAAACTGTCCCTGTGATAGAGACATCTGAGCTTGGAATCCGAGCAGATACCCACCTAAATTTCCGCACTTTTTCTCTCCCTTCAAGTTACTAACTTGTTCATCGGAGGCGGAGCACCACCCAACCGGTGTCTCCGTTTGTTTTGCAGGTACAGCTCACGCCGGATCAGTCTTCGTGTTGTAACTCTCCCGAGGGACAAAAACACCCAAAACAGTTCCAACTTGTAACACTTATTTTGAATCAATTCTTTTGTTTTTAAGTTTATTTATAACTGTTTTGGTTTTCCGCTGCTAATTTCTGAGATAGCCTTAACGTTTGAACACGTGGCGGTAGCACGCCAGTAATTCTCTTAAAATTGTTCAGGTTATATACAGGTTTCTCACAGGTTTTTAAGAGAGAATTATTGGGGCGTTACAAAGTGGTATCTGGGAGCTTAGGTTCGATTTTATTACCACTAAAGTCAATTTAAAGTTTTAGGCGCCTAATGTTTTTAAATCTTCCGATTTTGAATTTTATGACTTGATTTAAAGTAAAACTTTAATTTAAAAAATTATTTTATTAAATTATTTCGGCGTTTTAAATAAAATATATGTATTTATATAAATCACTATGTTATTAATTATTTTTGAAATTTATTGAATCTGCGTATTTTTTTTAATTCATTGAACTTGAATATTTATTTTATTTTATGAGTGAGGTTTGGGTAGTCTTAAGGAGGTCATATAAGTTAAATGATTTCTTTCTATGTGCATTGTAATTTAATTCTTTGGTGCTATTTATTTTTGAATGTAGTGATTATGCAAGTTATATTTAATTGTATATGTTTTATATAGTCGTGCAAATTTGGGTATTGTGATCACCTAGTATCATGTGTAAGGATTAAAGAATACAATAGAGATTAATTTGTGATGATTTGTGCAATGTAATATGTATATATGAATGATCATTATATGAAGCCTGTAATTATGTGACTATTTGTTTATGCTTATTTAATGATCTAGTTTATTTGGTGCTTTGGGTTATTGGTAAGGTTTATATTTCATTATTTAATATCTATAAATAATGAAACATAAACCTTATGATTTATTTAGGAATATACTTGGAGAATTGATGAAACATTTGGTGATGATAAACTACGCAAGAGATGTGTATGAATTTTGTTTTGGTCAAGCCGCCATACTTTAAAGAGAGTGGGGACCCTGCTTTTCTTTAGAAATAGATAGTGAAAGATGAGTTTTTGTTGCTTTGAATTGCCATAAGAATTTGAGGAGAAAATATTTGGTGGAAAGAGAATAGAGATACGATTCGTGAGACAGTTGACTTTCGTTGGGAGAATTGGAAAACCAAGTTGAAGAGAAGTCTTATCAATCGATTTTGTGAAAGAAAATTTTGAGGAGCCCATGGATTCATAAATGTGGAAATATGAATCAGGTCTTTTGGGTTAATTAATGTATTAGAAATCATTATGGATTTAACGAATCGAGTGTTCCATGAGTACAGTAATGCGATAAATTTGTGGTTTTATTAATGAGATCTTGCTATACTTAAGGAGTGAGGATTATCATAATGGAAATTTAAGGATTCTGTTGACAACTTTTAGGGACGACTCGTAATACACTAAGTTTTCGAAGTGTGAGTTTTATTAATGACAGAAAGTTACATTTTGGGACATTACGTAAAATAAAAATAAAAATAATAATAAGTATTTTGATTTTAAGATTCAAGCAGTGAGTTAGTGGCATATACTTAACAATGTGACCAATATAAGGAGTTTATTGGGATTAGATGTTTTGGGAGGTTTGTGAAGGACTTTTGAGGATTGCTAGCGAAACTACCTTGATAAAGGAGAGTTAGTTTGAATGGGATGAAAAGTGTACTCAAGCCTTTAAAACTCTTAAAGAACATAGGATAACTATTGAACCTGTTTTAGTCTTGCCTAATGGGAGTGGTGAATTTGAAGTTTATACTTAATGGGAGTGTGTTGCAACAAATGGGAAAATGATAATGCTTCTTGCCTAGGCAAATCTTATGAGACCAATTACCCTACTATGATCATGAGAATCTAAAGATTGCTAAAATATGAACTATGTACATTGGAGATTCATTCGAAGACATTATCTAACCAATGTCACTTGTAAGATCTTTACGAATCATAAGAGTCTTACGTTGTTAGCCAAGGAGAGCTAAAAGGATTATTGAATGCCATGTGAATTGAACTGTTTATATTTGAGAAAATTATAGAGAAGCAAGTTGAGAATAAATCATTGCATAAAGAAGAGATGAAAGAAAAGTGTCTAATGATGTTATTGAGGTGAGTTATGGGGGCGTAACTCTTTTCTTTAAGAGGGGTAGAGTGCGATGTAATTCTACGCTTTTTACCTCATTTATGCTATTTATTGCTTGAGTTTGCATGATTTTGCTTATTATTATACATTATTATTGTGTTGACATGCAATAAAAGCGTGTAAACTTTGGCCAAGTATGAGTTCATTGAGTATAAAGTTCAGTTTGTTGAGCGTACATGATGAGGATCAAGCAATTTACAGCAATACAAAACACAAAATATTTGAATGGTTTTGGAGAAATTATGAACTTTGGGTTAAGTTTCGAGGGCGAAACTTCTTTTAAGAGGGGTAGATTGTAATCCCCCATGATTTTGTAATTATAATAATTATATTTTATTATTAATTATATGATTATTTTACTATAATTGTATAATTTTATAAATATTTCAAAAATAATAAATTAGTTTTAAGCTATTTAGCCATTACTAACTATTGACAATAATCAATCTACCCATACAAATTAGGAGCCTAGTCCAAGTTAACTCAAAGCCCAACTTTACACCTTATTCCTAAAATTTGGTATATATTTGGGCCTAAACAAATTATCCTAATTGAATTTGGATTGGGAAACCCCACAAACCCACTTCTTATTATTTATACCCACTTAAACTTTTTCCCCTTCTTCAAAATCTCAATCTTACGTACAAAAGAAAAACCCCAACATTTTTCCCCTTTGCTTCTCTGCTTTCACGATCAAACAGGAAAAAAAAATATATCTACTTGCTGCCGCTGCCAGCCACGCACAACCATGGCGCCACCTTGCTGACCGGCGTCCACAACTGTAGCACCACCTCACGCCTCCAGCAATTCGCCCCTCCTCTCTCCTTCCTTCTTCTTGTTCTTCTTCATCTTCCTTTGTTAATGTTATTCAAGTTTTAACCTTTATTATGTTTTTGTTCTTAAATTGTTATTATTATGATTTGATTATGCCTATAAAGTGTAAAAGACTACAAATTTATAAATTATACTATGTCTAATTTATGGCATAAAATTTCAGATTTGGTTTGATGAAGAATTAAGGGTTTAAACCTTGATAATTCATGGTTTTAGGGTTTAAAACGTATTGATTAAGTCAATTAATTATATTATGTTTAAATTATGCTAAATCTTAA